GTCGGGGTGGGGGAGGGGTCCCAAGGTTTGCACGAGGGCGGGCAGGCGGGCGGGCAGCCTCCTGGACTGTCAAGCGCTTCGCTCTCCTCTCTTGCCCTGCCCTGCCCTGCCCGTCGGGCGGGCCCGGCCCAGCCCAGTCGCGCGCTCCGCCTCGCTTTCCATCTCCGCCTTCCTTGAGGGCGCGTAGTTTCCTCCTGCGCGGTGGCCACAGCCCGGCCAGGAAGGACGAAGAAACTACACTTCCCGGCGTGCCGCGTGTCTGGGCCAGGCGCTATAAAGGGCTGCCCCGACACGCTGGCTCCAGAGCGTGCGCAGCCGAGGAGCCGGAGCTGTCGAGGGTGTGCAGGTAGGGAGGAGAGGCAGGTGGGCGGCGGCGGCGGCGGCGGCGGCGGCCTCCTTCTCTTCCTCCTTCTGCTCTCCCTTTGCGTCCGCGGAGAGGGCGCAGGACAGGGGCTTGGCCGCGCCTGGGACACCCTGAAGGGAGAGTCAGGCGAGGGTCTGCTCGGGGAGGGGGTCGCGTGCTGCGCTTCTTCCTTTCTCCGGCTCCTTTGTCTTGCGGGGCGTGGCGCTCAGTGGTGCGGAGGGGAGGCCCGAACTCGGGCAGAGCTCGCTGGCGGCGAGGGTCGGCCCTCTTGACGGCGCGGCTCGAAAGGGGGCCGGCAGGGCTGGGGCTGCTTGCTTCCCCCGGGGATGCAGGGCAGGGTTAGGGTGAGGCGCGGGGCCTGGGCGTGAGTTTAGCGCTGGGGCTGACAAAGGAGGGAAGGCAGGGGAGGTTCTCGGCAGCCTGTCCCCCCTCCCGCCTACCGGGGCGGGGCGGGGCAGGGGTCTTGTTCTTTCTTTACCACCTGCCTGGCCCCAACCTGGTGGTGATCCTGGGTTTCTGTTCCCCTCGGCGGATGTGTGTGTATGTGTGCCGCCTCCGCCGCCCTTTCTTCCTTGTTCAGATGTGCTTCTAGTCGTCGGGGCTTTTGCTTTCCGTCCGGGCTTCCAAGCGCGCGGTGCCCCCGCCGGCCCCTTCAGCTGAGCTCTGCCCACCAGACCACCCCCCTCCCCGCGCGCCTGACGCGGGACTCTCTGGCTTCTTGCAGTCCGTGGTGCGATCGCGTGTCTTTCCGTGGCCAAGATGTGTGACAAACCTGATCTCTCCGAAGTGGAGAAGTTCGACAAGAAGAAGCTGAAAAAAACCAATACGGAAGAGAAGAACACGCTGCCTTCGAAGGAGAGTGAGTGTCTGGGGTGGGGCCCCCAGCCGGGTGAACAGAAGTGGTGGCATGTCTTCCAGGTGCCCCTCGGAAAGCTGCTGGGGGGGGAGGGGAAGGAGAGAGAGAGAGAGAGAGAGAGAGTAGCCTGCCCAAAGTCCAGCCAGGGTGTGAGAGGGGGCCCCTGAAGAAAGCAGGTGCGGTGGTGCCCCCCGGGGCCCAGGAGCAAACGCCCCATTCGGCCACGGGGGGGGGCAGAGAAAGGGTCTGCTGCTGTTCCTTGCTGGCTCTCTCTTCCATGTTCAGCTGGACAGTTTGAGCAGCAGGTGAGAGATGTTCAGGTGTCGGCTTTAAAAGCAGGGAGACTGGAGGGTGTTTGGGCTTCCTGGAGCCCCAGCAGAAGGCTGGCCGGGCCATCGGTTTGCTCAAGGCACGGCTGGTCTGTGCCTGAAGTTGGCTGGCATTCCCGCAGCGACTCTGGCAGGCGTGGGGAAGGGTGTGGCCTGGGTCTCTGGGCAGGCCTGAGGCTCCCTTCTGGGCCAAGGGTGCTGCAGTGCTTGCACTGCTTCACGGTTTGTTTGGCTAAGGCGGCAGCCGCCGTCTCGCCTACCTTCCAAGGCAGTCTGGGTCTGCTTGGTGTCACGCCTGTGGAAAAGGTGTGGAGAAGCTGGCAGGAACCAGGTCTGTGGCCCAGAACAGGGCAGGAAGGAGGGCTGCGTTCTGCTCAACACCTCTCGTGGGGTGTGGCTAAAAAGTATCTCCTGCCTTACCTGCTACACACAGTCCCTCGTCCTTGGTTGGATGCTTCCCTGGGGTTGGGGGCCATAGTGGTTAAAGTGGGACTTGGGAGGCTTGTGTTCAGGTCCCTCCTTGGCCACGAAACACCCTGGGTGACCTCAGGTGGGTCATGTACTGGCAGCCCGGCCAGCCTAGCAGAGGCTCAGAGCCACCTTGAGCCAAGGTGAGATTCAGGCTGGAGGAGTTGGCAGACAGAGCAAAGCACACTCGGCTATTCCAGGGACTGCAGACCTCCCCTCTGGCCAGGCATGGGCCCTGATGGTTTCCCTTTCTCTCTTTCTTTCTTTCAGCCATTGAGCAGGAGAAGGAGTGCATCAAGTCCTCGTAGAGATGGCACCACCCTCCTCGCACCAAGCGCCAAACCCTTCCTCTTTTTGTTTTTGTATTTCAAATTAACTTTTTTTACTACAGTGTACATGGTGTCTTGAGAAATATGGCCACAGCTTCCATCATGAGCACTTCTCCTTCACTCTTTTGCTCCCCCCCGGTCCCGTCCCTCCCCTGTCCTGCCCACTGTAGCCTGGCAGTAGCTGGTTCTTTCTCCCTTGGCTCAGCCGCCTCTTGTCCTCTTGCCACCCGAGACCACCAGAGGGAAGAGCAAAGGGCAAGCAGGAAAAGGGGGGGGGGATTCAGAGGCTCCTGCAGCTGAACTGCTTCTTCCCTCTTGCCTTTCTTCTGTTTTCTTTCTTGCCAGATGGGAAAGTTCCAGCAGCTGAGGCCTCTTGAAAGTGTGTTTGTTTCAAATCATTTCTGCAGCTTGAACTGATTTGTTTTCTTAAAAATGAAATGGAGAAAAAAATCTATTAAAGATATGAAACCACCTTATGGACATTTCTTCTACATTTCTTCCCTCCAGAGCTGTCATTTCTGTCCCCTTGCCCCCCGCCCTTTTTTGAGTTAGAATGCAAGGAAGGGACAGGGTTCAAGATGGATTGGGCTTTTTGGGTGGGGGCGGGATGAAGTGTTGGGTCTGGCTCCCCTTCTGGAAGGTGTGCGTGTGAGAGAGAGGGTCTTGAGGAACAAAGGCCTCCCAGTCAGGAGCTGGTTTGTGACTTGCTCAGAAGTGGGCCCCATTTGCTGCCCTCTTTCCTGGCCCCAGCAGCAGCCCAGAAGGATCCGCTGAGTGTGGGGCAGTGGCTGGTTGTAGGCAAATGATGGAGCCACTGCTTCTGCCTGAGCCCTGCCCTCCAGGGCCTTGTGCTTCTCTCCAGCTGGCCCCTGGGGGGGAGGGCAGGCCTTGAGAAGCTTCCCCCTTCTGGCCTGGCCCTTCCTGTCGGCGGCTCGGTCTTTATTTCACTCTTGGAAGAGGGGAGGAGGGAGCGCCCAAATGGACGAAGGTGCGTAAGAAAGCGACTGTCCTGGAGAGTCCTTGAGGGGGGGGGGTGCAGCCTTGCCCAAGAAGGCTTCCTTACTCCAGAGTCAATTGCAGACATGTCGGGAGGGGCTGGAGGAAGGGGAATAATGGCTTCCCCTTGTTGAGGGTTTTGAGGTGGCCCTGAGAGGTTCCCAAGCCTCTCTCTCCTGCTGCCCGGCCAAAGCAAGGGGTACCAGGCCCACAGGCTTGCAGCAGCTGTTCTATGTGGGCAGGTGAGGTGGGGGCTGACAGTATGAAAAGAGTTGCCCTCCTAGGAACTAGCCGCTCTTGCTTTTGCATGGCGGGGAGTCCATAGCCGTCCACATTCCTGGGCATGGTTGCTGCTGAAAGCATAGCTGAGGCTCTCTTTGCAAANNNNAGAGTGCCAGTGGTGGTGGTTGCGATGCTGCTGTGGTGGTGGTTCTGGCTAAGGTGGCCAGGACTTCCCTGTATGGCACCGAACAGATGCAGCACGGAAAGGGTCATTCTGGAAACTCCTCAGGTCCCACGCGGTGCCTTCTTTCCCTGCTTGGAGGTTTGTGAGCTGAAAAGTGCCATGAATGAAGCTTCGACCTGTTTGTGGCCATGGCGTGTTTGCATGCCAGTCATCTGGGCAAGGGTGTGAGAAAACGCATGGCCCTTCCCCCCCCCCAGGGCACTGGGGGCTGCCTCTGTTTCAGGATCCTGGCTTCCCCAACACTGGCATCACTTGGAAGGGCACACTTGTTTAGCAACCTGCATACCTGCACTTTTTGGGGACATGGCTGTCTGTTTGGATCAGAACGCTCGGAAGGACTGTCCATGCCTGCACTGAACCTAAACTAACCATGGCCACTTCCGTGCAAATCCTCTTTGCTAACAGGCCTGCTGAAGTGCAGAAAAGGAAGAAAGAGGAAGTGAACCAAGGAAGTGGGAGAACAGAAACAACTGCTTTGACTAAACCTTACAGACTTTATAGACCATGGGTTCCATCCTGACCTCCCTGCCTAGGACGGCCCGATGGCGGCAAGGGGAGCGTGGCCTCTGCACTGCTTGCTCTGGCTGCCACAGTGCAGGGCAGGCTGTGTGGGGGGGGCGTCTGTGTGTGTGTCAGGGGGGCAGGGAGGTGGCAGTCTGCAACCAGCGCAGACTTTTGTGTGCAAAGCAGCTGTGACGCCACTTCCCTAAACAATGGCAATGGGCAGGAGGCCATCAAGGAAGCAGGAGAGCTGGGCCCACAGCCAGCCTGCCTTTGAGGAAACTGGCCGGCTGGCCATGGGGGACAGGGAGGGCCCAGGAGTGCTCTTTATACTGGGGAGGGGGGAGGGGGGAGCATTTCTTCCCCTCTGCTGGAAGGGCAGTGAAGGACCCAGGGCAGAAGCCTTGGTCTTATTCTGGCAGTTGTGGAACAGGCAGCTGGCAAAAGTCCAGCCTGCTCCCAAGCTTGTTTGGGGGCTCTTCCGGCCCAAGGATGACTCCCTCACCATCCAGAGGCAGGCCTGAACACGCCCATGCTTGGACACGGTCCTCACCCTGCCTGCCCTGACAGGCGTGAACCTCTGCAAAGGGTTCCAGTCTTAGGGTTAGGGCCGCCACCTACGTATTTTGAGGCAGGCAATGCTAGGGTGCAAGGAACCCTAGGTTGAGCTGGCAATGCACAGCCTTGCGCTCCACAGAAAAGAGAGGGGGGGGGCTGAGGCAGGCAGGAGCCGGCAGGCTGATGCTTGCTCCCTCTGCTCCCCTGAGTCAGTGAGTCAGCCGATGCGATGCTCCGGGGCAGACAAGATGGGAAGCACTGCAGGAGACAGAACAGCCCTGCCCTGCAGGTCTCGGCACGCTCCCTCCAGCAACCTCTGTGGTTACCCTTTGAGAGGCCGAGAAAGAAGGGCTCGGGTGCAGAAGGCGGGCAGTAGCACTTTTGGTGAAAGCAGCCGCAGCCACATGGGAGCCGGACTTCTGCCAGGAAGGGAGAGGCCATGAAAGAAACAACTGGGCAGTGGACAGAGAGCAGCTTGAGAATGGAAGAGGCTGCCTGTGAACGCAGTGGGCTCTCCACCAGGAGGTTTTGAAACTGAAGTCGGATGGCCGCCTTTCAAGGACGCTCCAACCCAAGGGAGGGTTACTTACATAACTGGCTTATATCCCACCTTTCTCTCAATAGGAAGGAACACGGGATGGCACAGAAGAACTAAACAAGGCATATAGTTAAAGCAATAAAAAGTGAATACATTAATATTAAAATACACTTAAACCAGAAGAGTGTTAATAACATCATTAGTTAAAACAAATTAGAAATCCTTGATAAAAAGATATGCTGAAACCCCTCCTCCCACCAAAAGGCCGCTTAAAAAGCAAGATGTTAAAGAGGGGGCCACCTTGGCCCAGCTTTGTGTGGGAGGGAATTCCATCTGGAGCAGCCACGGAAAATGCCCTCCCTGGAGTCCTCACCAAAGTGGCCTGCGATGGCAGTGGGACCAAGGAGATCTCAGAGAGCAGGAAGGCTCACTTTGGGAAGATACAGAACTTCAAACAGCCTGGCCCCGAGCCAGGTAAAGGGCTTTACAGGTCCTCACCAGGACATTGAACTGGCCCCGGAGATGGACTGGCAGTAGTCAGTGAAGCTGCTGGAATGCGGGGGGGGGGTTATGTGTGATATGATCCCTGGAAATGACTCTGGTAAGCCATCTGGCTGCAGCATTTTGAACCCCACGGAGTCCTCAAAACAGCCCCACCCGATGGGCCTGGGCCTCTCTTGGGGCTCAGCTGGTTTCGTCCTCCTCTGAGGTCTTTGACCGCCTGCTTCTTGTGTTTGCAAATCCTCCGCACACAACATGACGATGTTCCTGACCCAGAAGGTCCAGGGCCTTTCCTGCCAACCCATCTGCAACGGGATGGGCTGTACCCCCCCTCCCCATGTCAGCACAGCAAGCACGAGCCAATATTCAGGAACTCTTCAAGGGAAATGTTCTGACCACTGAGGACCAACCTCAAGGAGGGCCTGTGAGGCCACCTTGCTCTAGCCCATCGAGGGGGCAGGAGGGGGTTAGGTGAGGCCAAGGGTCAGGAATGTCACAGAGGAGAGACAGAGGGACCAGGAGATTCTCAGGAAGACCCCTCCCCCTCCCCTCAGTGCAGCCAAATTGGCCTGACAGCCACCTCCTCTTGGCGGCATGTTGGTGCTGGTCCCATTTCCTCAGGCATGGCGGTTCTCGCAGCTTGCATGGAGGCAAGGAAGGGATGTGGCCAGAGGTGAACTCCACCAAGAAGCGGCTTGTCAGGAACCGGAGGCCTTACAAAAGCCATCCAGACATTACGGATGGAATGCAGGGTTTCCCTTTGGGACTCTGCTGGCGGGGTGGGTGTGTTGCAATGGCAGGCTGCAAAGGCTGAGGCTGAGGCCGCCAAAACCCGGTCCAAAGAAGTGGACTTGTACAAGACATACCAGTTAGTCTCCAAGTTGCCACAATGTTCTTGCCTTCTTTATTTTATTTTATTTTTTTTAGTTTTCATTAGGTTTTGTCTGAGACAGGAGCACAGACTGACCCGGCTACCTCTCCTAAAAGTAAAAACCTCAGTGGCCAGCGCTCCGTGACGCCTCGGCTCCCTTGCAGCACCTCTTCTTTCTGGCCCATCCAACGTTCATCCTCCTTTGGAGGTGCCTTCCTTCCTTCCTTCCCCCTGAAGATTTGTTTGCTGGCTGGGCTCAGAGCGCTGTCCCAAGGGTTTAGCTCCTCAGGGCAAATTTATTGATGGATGGCAATCATCCGGTGGTGCTATTGTCCTGGCACCTCCCCGGTTTTTCCTCATATATTGCTCCCTTAATCCTTGCAGTCATCCTACAAGGTAAGCCAGAGGACCCCTGCTGATCTCAGGTAACAGGCAGGTGATGGAAAGTGGAACTGGGGTCCACCTGGAAGACCGGGAGAGTCGTAACCAGTGGCAGCCTCCACAGTCCTGGGGCAAAGGGAGACATGGAAGGCGCTGACGGCCTCTTCTGTAGCCCCACCACCATCCCCACTGTCAGTGCAGCAGGCAAGGGGCCTAGGAAACTGCCCTTGGGAAGGAGAGGGAATCTCTCCCATGAAGCAGCCAGTTGAGGGTCCCTTTGTGACTGGTCCACCCGGACTCCTCACACGCACTCCAGTGCTCTGGCTCCTCTGCTGAACAGGAAAGGAGGGGGGGGCTGGACACTGTGCGAGGGGGGGCAGTGGGGACAGCTAGATGCACTGAAGAAGGTGTGCTTTGTAAGTGCTCCAAGCATAGGGCAGGATTGGGCTGGCAAAACAAAGACGTGCCTTTGAATGGATGGTGGAATGAGGTTCGGGAAAGAAGGCTGGGTGCCCGGCAGCAGATGCCCACATGAGCTGAGGCTCTGAGGGGGCTGACGGCACATCCGGAGCCACTGTAGCAGAGGCAACATCTTAGCTGGGCCCTCCCCATGACAATTTAGCTAGAAACCACACTAGCTCTCATGAATGAAACCTGAAGGACCCACCCCCACCCCCCCACCAGCTGGGGCACTCGGGTGGCTCTGGCTGAGGTCTCTCTTCCATCTGGTAAGTAAAGGTGCTAAGGGGAAAACCAGGCTCTTTGACCTCTGTGTGTGTGGGGGGGGGAGTAGAGGCTGCCCCCTCCCTCATGGGTAGAAGGGAAACCAACCCCATCATGGCTGGAGTCTCTCTGCCTCCTGCCCAGAGGAGGACGGCTGAGTCCCTTTTGTTACCTCCAGCACTTCCTCCTCCTTGGCTTGTCTGGGCTGTCCCCGAAGGGGGGGAGGAGGAGGAGAGGGAGCCGGGAGGGGGCCGGCAGGCCTGGCTGTTCTGGAGCACATTTTGTAGATTTCAGGCAGAGCGCATTCCTCAGGTTGGCCCCTCCGGGGTGACGCCTCGGTCTGGTCTGGTCTTCTCACTCACAGCAGGAAGGAGGAGGAAGAGGGGCAGCCTGTGGGCCTTGGAGCAGCTGCCGTGGGG